CTATTTTCGAATTATTCAACTGCATGTTTTGGACCTAGAGAGGCTACCGAGGCTATCGATGATGGCGACATTCCTAACTTAGAAAGTCTTCAGATATCTACAAAGCGGTAATTAATTCACGAGGCTAAAAACTATTGATTATGGTATAAGAGTTTTAACTTTAAAGTTTTTGGTACCAGCATGATAAAAATCATTATTTAGGAAATTTCAGTATTTTTTTTTTATTTAAATTTATAAAATAATTCATTTCGTATAATTAAATAAACAAATTCATTTATATGTTAAATCTTATTTTTTTAAGGTTACAACAATTCTCTTTTACTTAAGTTAAATTGTATATAAGTTTTAATTAATTTCCTTTTGACAAAGCTATAGTTTATAATTCTCACTAGCTTTCTAAAAATAAAAAAAGAGAATTAATGGCGCCTCTCTCGCCCAGAAAACTATTATCCCCAAAGGTCTCTATTAGAAAAGCCGAATTCACGACTGAGAAAACTATACGGTCAATGTGCTCATTTCTTTTTAATTTGATTAAAGGTAAGTAATATTTAGTGTTAAATTTCTATGAGCTAGTCAAAATTTCAAGTGTTTTGAAATTAACATTTTATTGCAAAGTAACGCCAAGCTATTACAAAAGTAGCAATTTTGTTAGAAAAGTTTAATAATATTTCAAGAACCTAAAAATAGCTTTAAAATGTGGCAAAAGTAGTTATTTTCAGAAAAAAAAATTATATACCGAGGTGTTCTGCGACTTCGTTCCAACAAAGCACCCAGTATTATTTAAAAATATCAATTTTTTTTAGTAAAGTTTTATAATATTTCAAGAGCCTAAAAATTATCTAAAAATGTGGCATGGTTGTTTTTATAAAAAAGCTTTAAAAAATTGAGGTATTCTGCTGGATTTATTTGAAGCTAGCAAAGCGCCCTGTATTTTTTAAAAAAATACTAATTTTTTTCAAAATTTTGTCTAGTATTTCAAAGCCTAAAAATAGCTCAAAAATAGCTTAAAAATGTGGCATAAGTAACTATTAAAAAAAAAACCGAGGTGCTTTGCTCACTTGTTCCAAAATAGCATTTTTTTTGGTAAAGTTTATAATATGTTAAGAGCCTAAAAATGTTATGTGGTTATTTTTAGAAAAAAGCTTAAAGAACTGAGGTCTCTGCTGGATTCGTTTAAAGCTAGAAAAATACCCTCTACTTTTTAAAAATTACTAATTACTTTTTTCCACTAAACGGACAGTTGAGTTTGGTGTTTTGTTTGTGTTTTCTGGAACTTGAAAAACAAAACTGAGACAAACCCAAAACTCTTGTTTCCATCAAGCGAACTACATTTTGTCATATTTTTTTTTGTGTCATCGGCATCGACTACTAAGGCCATTAGCTTTGTGTTCTGTGTAGGCTTTGTTACTGTTTCCCAGAGCCACTTTAGGAATAGCACTGTTAATTAGAACCCAACAGTGAATGGTCGAGTAGGAAATCCTACCAATGCATCAGAATTAATTTTAAATAATTAAATTAAATAAAAAAATCCCGGCCAACGGTAGGATTCGAACCTGGGACCCTTGGATCCACAGGCAGAGACTCTACCACTGAGTCACCCCAGTTTTGTTTTTATTTTCGGTCCTTTTCCACTGGTTGTTGCGAGAAAGTCAAAACACATTTTTTTCAATATTTTATTTATATTTATATATCTATTTATTTTTTAAGATAGGTCCAAATTGAAAATACATATAAAAGTAGTTTAAAGGATGTATGTGACATCATAAAAACTTAAAAAGGACAATATTGGCACTTAACCTAGTCTGGCTCTGACATTCAGATATATATCCTACTAATAAATATACTTATATAAATTTATTCAGCGTTTAAAAATAAATTACTTATCTATAACAAATACGATATTTACTTACCTATACTACCTATAGGTATCAAGTTGGTTCAAAATTTAGACTACCCAACACGGCCGTTTCCAGTAAACAGACTCGAGTTTCAAAATACGTCAAAACCTTTTGATGTTACCGCTTCCGAGCAGGACCCGAGAAACAAAACTCCAACTATAGGGACCGTGCGTCAAGACTTTAACGCTAACTGGTGAAAAAAATTTGAACTTTATGGGGGGTATTTATTAATATTTTATATGACATTTATTGTTTAATAATTATTAATTAAATAAAGTCGAATTATTTTCGTAATATCATTATCGAAAAAACTTGTTGCATCCGTGGATGTACGAACACATTACTTTGGAAACCTGGATTTCATTCAATAGTAAAGAAATTTTATAAATTTTCACAGAGCAGAATTAAGTGTCTCACGCCCAATGATATACATAATTACATTACATAGATTGCTTATCCATATGTAAATCAGATGACGAAAAGCGTATTTCACTGGGCAAAGTTTTTTTTTTATCTAGCTTTGTATCAATTTTGAGTACTTGAGCATTTACAGAACCGGTTTAGAAATTAGAGTTTTTAGTGTTTTATTATCATTAAGATTTTTACATATTTAAATGAACATTTTATATAAATATAATTTTACAGATAATTATTCTGTTGATTAAAACTAATGTAGAATGTTACTATGAAATAAGTATGTCCAATTTGACAAAAATATCATAGCCCTCTTTACAATTTATTAACTATTTCTCATTTATTACTAAAATAAACAAATCATAAATAATACGTACATTACAAGTACTATCAAAAGAGACTGCAACAAACTTTAAAATATTAAAAAACCAGTGATTTTTGTAAATTTTTTTAGTGACATTACCATTAAACATTATTCAGAATAATAGATGTGTCCAATTACAACTCTTACCAAAGTTGTTTATATCTCATATCAAAGTTGTTTACATTTCCTTTTCAAAATTGCATATTTGCATATTGCAATTATGTATTTTATGTAGTGTAATTTCTGAAATGAGAGTAGTCTAAAATTATTTATATCCATCTGTTTTAAAATTGTTTAGATCTCTTAATATTATTTAACAACATGAAAACTCAACTTTCCAAATACATAATAACGTGTCTTGAAGTAAAACTTTAATTATTTTCTTTTTCTAAAGATTAAAATACTGAAATTTTATATTAAAACATATTTGGGCTAGAACGGCTCTATTTTAGTGAGCACTAGGAAAGGCACATTGCAACCCGCTTTTCGTAATTTTTTTATAGATGGGTGAGCAATCTATAATATGTATATCATTGGGCGTCTCATAAACGTCAGTGGATGAATGACATTTGGACTAGCATAAATTTTTCCCAATCTTTTTTATTAATTTACATTTTTTAAATGTTATTGTAATACTTTTAAATTCAGTGTTACTAAATACCGATATTTTGATACTTGATACTTGTTTAAGGTACAACTTTACAATTTATTGTCAATTAGCCATATAAATCTTTTTGCTTAAAATGTATATACATGTCCAGATTTTAATAATATTTTACATTTTATATCATTTTGACCATGTACCCGATTGTTTGGTACGGGCCGGTATCTATATTTAACTATATTTAATATTTTAAAAAATATTCTTTATTATTTACTTGCAATGTTTACCCCATTTAATTCTAAAATTAAACACTAGAGAGGGCTAACTTCGGCAGTAGTGCTGCCTCTATATTTCACGCACGGTCCCTATCGCAAAACATGCCAGTCACTATACGAGGCAAGAGAGAGGTCCGACACGCCCAACATAGGGCGCGGCCATTTTGAACCCTGTGACACAGTTTACAGCTAAAGAATCAGATCGCTCAATCTGCGTCGGCACTTTTGATCTCAATGTTTTAGTTTATACACTGTGCAACTCGAATAATACAATATATGACAACCGCCTACAATAAAACAGCAGTCTTCTGCGTATCCTGAATTTGAATTCCTGGAGTGGATGTTATTTTGGAACTTTCAACTGGTCCGAGTGAGCTAACTGATTCTTTAGCAATAAACTGTGACTTCAAAAATAATATTCACTGACACTGACAGCAGCAAGAAAAATATCAGGTGCGTTTTAATCATCCGCTTCTGCTTCCGGAATTGTCGGTTTAGTCGTTTTAACCTGTCAGATTAAAACAAGAAAACCGACAATTCCGTAGCAGAAGCAGAAGCACCTAATTAAAATATTGCGCCAAGATGTAGGCAACACGTAATAAGGGTTCAAAATGGCGGAGTTCTCTATCTCCTTTTAAAAGGCACTCAGAAAGCTGCGCAGTGCGACCATTCTCCGTATATGCCAGTCTTCAAAAAGTTTGGGAAAAGTTGCAGTTTTGGTTTTCCCGACACGAGTTTGGGTTTTGTTTTGTCCGTTTAGTGGAAAACGCCATAATATTTCAAAGCCTAAAAATAGCCTAAAAATGAGGTATGGTTGTTTTTAGAAAAAAGCTTTAAAAAACTGAGGTACTCTGCTGACTTCGTTTGAAGCTAGCAGAGCACCTTAATTTTTGCAAAAAACGAGGGAGCATAAATTTTTTGAATAGGGTATAGAAGTAACCTTAAAGTAGCCTAAAAATATGGCAGATTTTAACTCAAAATTACGTAGGTGCTCTGCTGCCTTCTTTGACATATCAAGATATCAGATTTGCTTAGAAATTAATGGGTATTTTATAAATTATTTTTATTTTAAGAGAAAACATTGACGTGCTATCAATGTTTGCCAAAATAATATGCAGGTCAGATTTCGCACGAACACCACTGGTGGAAATAAACAGAAATGTTGTTCATAAAAAATGCCTCTTAATGGATTAGCACCTGTATACCGAATTTCATTAAAATACCTACAGTGGTATTACAGCTAATATTAAAATCTTATTTATTTTTAATAGCTTTACCTGGATCTCAAAAGTTAAGACGTCTAGGACGAAGTTTATTTTTTTTTTTTTCTTGAAACGAACCTAAAAATCACCCTTTTTAAAAATTAACATTCAATTAGAAAACACCGTATTATTATGTAGCCCTTCTACATATTTCTCGATCAGGTTCATAAATGTTATTTTTAGACTTCTCACTGCCGATTTGATGGCGCGCAGCACAAGCGACTCCAGCATGGTAAGTTCCCTGGGCGATTTCGCCGACGAAACAGAATGTTTGGTCAAAGCGGAGCAAAAGACTTGCAAACGACGAGCCAGTTGCCAAGCTCTGCCCACTGCCAGAGAATTGGAACATCCGGCTTTCCAGTGCATCAGGAACGTCCAACCAGAAGGGCAGACTGTGGTGACGTTGAGCAAATTGGTTACTCCTTGTGCCATGCAGCAATGTTTGCAGTTTGCGTACACTGGTACTGTCGATCGAAGTGCTTTGAATTTACAGGTAAGGTTCCTTTTTTTGTGTCAATAAAATCGAAAAACAAAAACATGGAAACCTCGGAACCAATTAGTCAACCTCTTATGAGTAATTTTGAAGTTAGACATTTTACGGATCAAAATACTTTGTGTTTTTAACATTGTATTTGGATGGTTGAAATGTCTAATTTCATGTTGTTAAGCTGTAGGAATGATAATTAAAAGACAGTTCTATTAGTATAGAAGCACTTTGCAAAATGTTGGGTTGATCACTAGTAAGTATGGCTAAATTTTCATGGAGACGTCGGGTAACATATTGTGCAACAGTAATCCGTCGTTTGCGTTTTACATTTCAAAGACTATATGTACATACCATCATTAACAAAGAAACTTATTTGAGATGAAGGAGTCATCTCCATTTGAGATAAAGATTGAATTTCCCTTTTAGAATAATCTAAAAATATACAAGTTTACATTATATTCTAATGATCAAAGAAATAGCTATTTGTGTATTAAGAGCGGAAAGTGCTACTTTGCCGCTTGAGGGAAAGCCCACTCACGCGACATGTCGCGCGCGACCTGCCGCATGCGATTTTTAACAGACGACAAGCAGCGACACAGACGTTCAGTATTAAAATAGAGGTGGAAAAAGTAGTAACGGTGTTGTTTTATTCTGTTCGTCGGCGGAAAAAATTGAAACGACGTAGGTACTGGGTTCATCCATTATTTATAGACCGTTATGTAAAAGGCGCATTTAATTTATTACATAAGGATTTACGTCAACACGAGGATAAGTTCTTCAAATATTTCAGAATGAGTGTAGTGTCATTTGACGAACTGTTAGCGCATATTCCCGAACAAATATTTTTTTCGCTATTTAATTTCAATTAACTGTTGAAGTCGGTCTTGAATATCGGATATAAATTCATCTATATCAATACAGCTGTCGGACATTTTTTCACTGGAACTGTCGAAAAGTTAACAGGAAATTCCAACTCTCAACTGGCGTTTCGCACGCGACTTGACGTTTGTATGAGTGACAGAACTGCGATAATGGGCTTTGAGTCATTTAAAAACATCTAAAGTATTGCCGCGCGCGATGCCTCGCGATCAGTCGCGCGCGACGTGTCGCATGAGTGCGCTTTCCCCACATACTTTGATTTTCTTTTACTATACGGAGAATGGTCGCACTGCGCAGCTTTCTGAGTGCCTTTTAAAAGGAGATATAAAACTCCGCCATTTTGAACCCTTATTACGTGTTGCCTACATCTTGGCGCAATATTTTTAATAGGTGCGTTTTAATCATCCGCTTCTGCTTCGGAATTGTCAGTTTTCTTGTTTTAATCTGACAGGTTAAAACGACTAAACCGACAATTCCGGAAGCAGAAGCGGATGATTAAAACGCACCTGATATTTTGCTTTCTGCTGTCCGTGTCAGTGAATATTATTTTTGAAGTCACAGTTTATTGCTAAAGAATCAGTTAGCTCACTCGGACCAGTTGAAAGTTCCAAAATAACATCCACTCCAGGGATACAAATTCAGGATACGCAGAAGACTGCTGTTTTATTATAGGCGGTTGTCATATATTGTATTATCCGAGTTGCACAGTGTATAAACTGAAACATTGAGATCCAAAGTGCCGATGCAGAGTGAGCGATCTGATTCTTTAGCTGTAAACTGTGTCACAGGGTTCAAAATGGCCGCGCCCTATGTTGGGCGTATCGGACCTCTCTCTTGCCTCGTATAGTAATCAAAGTATGTGGCTTTCCCTCTAAGGCTGCGCTATCACTAGGAGATATCATTTAATAGTTTTGTGTTTCGTGTGACTCCGATCAGCTGGGTTAACTGGATAATATATGAATAGCAGACCATTTTTTATATTAAAAGAAGAAAGTAACTAAAGTTTCGGGTAACACCTCGCGGCAATTGTACTGAACTCACATACTTTGATTACTATACGGTGCAAGAGAGGTCCGACACGCCCTACATAGGGAGCGGCCATTTTGATTCCTGTGCCACAGTTTATAGCTAAAGAATCAGATCGCTCACTCTGCGTTGGCACTTTTGATCTCAATGTTCCAGTTTATACATTGCGCAACTCGGATAATACAATGTATGACAACCGCCTATAATAAAACAGCAGTCTTCTGCGTATCCTGAATTTGTTTGTATCCCTGGAGTGGATGTTATTTTGGAACTTTCAACTAGTCCGAGTGAGCTAACTGATTCTTTAGCAATAAACTGTGACTCCAAAAATAATATTCACTGACGCCACATACTTTGATTTTCTTTTACTATACGGAGAATGGTCGCACTGCGCAGATTACTGAGTGCCTTTTAAAAGGAGATAGAAAACTCCGCCATTTTGAACTCTTATTACGTGTTACCTACATCTTGGCGCAATATTTTTAATAGGTCCGTTTTAATCATCCGCTTCTGAATTGTCGGTTTTCTTGTTTTAATCTTACAGGTTAAAACGACTAAACCGACAATTCCGGAAGCAGAAGCGGATGATTAAAACGCACCTGATATTTTGCTTGCTGCTGTCAGTGTCAGTCACATACTTTGATTACTATACGAGTCAAGAGAGAGGTCCGACACGCCCAACATAGGGCGTGGCCATTTTGAACCCTGTGACACAGTTTACAGCTAAAAAATCAGATCGCTCACTCTGCGTCGGCACTTTGGATCTCAATGTTTCAGTTTATACACTGTGCAACTCGGATAATACAATATATGACATCCGCCTATAATAAAACAGCAGTCTTCTGCGTATCCTGAATTTGTATCCCTGGAGTGGATGTTATTTTGGAACTTTCAACTGGTCCGAGTGAGCTAACTGATTCTTTAGCAATAAACTATGACTTCAAAAATAATATTCACTGACACTGACAGCAGCAAGCAAAATATCAGGTGCGTTTTAATCATCCGCTTCTGCTTCCGGAATTGTCGATTTAGTCGTTTTAACCTGTCAGATTAAAACAAGAAAACCGACGATTCCGAAGCAGAAGCGGATGATTAAAACGCACCTATTAAAAATATTGCGCCAAGATGTAGGTAACACGTAATAAGGGATCAAAATGGCGGAGTTTTCTATCTCCTTTTAAAAGGCACTCAGAAAGTTGCGCAGTGCGACCATTATCCGTATAGTAAGAGAAAATCAAAGTATGTGACTGAACTAAAATCTAGTGACAAAATGGCTATTTTCCAATATTTGCAAGAATTTTTAATTTCCGTGCAGGTCTACGAGTGTATTACGTGAAGAATTTTTACATTACTTCTTCAATTTTGGATTACATTTAAATACATTACCGGATCTGTATGCCCGTAAATATGTGTGAATAAAATTTTTATTTGACTTGTTACGCAAATCTTTTAGCAATATAAATGGTATCATCATAAAGTTAATACCATACAGAATCATAAAATATTTTGAAAACTCCTACAAAGTGTATATTGGAACTTTTTAATTTTACAAATTTCATGCTTGATTATAGATTTTCAAGTGATACAGAACATTTTGTCAAGTATAATTTTTTTTTGTGAAAAGTAAAATGCAATTTTTTTATGTATGTAATTCTTTTTCAAACACATTGTATAATAGAATGCGGCGTGCTCTTTTATTATGTTGTTAACAACAAAGTGTATTCCGATATTAGGTACAATTCCTAACGTTTACTCTGCCGATGCAGGCCATGCGCATTTTCTGCAAATAGGAATTAATATAGCCAGGGCTATTTTCGACATTCTATGAAATAAAATCTACTGATGAATAAAATATGGAAAATGAATGTGATTGGAATAAATAGATGGCCTAAAAAACCCTTATAAAAATAGAAATAAAAGTTAGAAAATAAGGTTATGTTTTAGAATTTCTGTAAGCATCTTACACACTGTACCTACCTATAAAACAGCAGTTGTAAAATGCCGGAATTATTGAAGGAATAACTAAAATAAAACATTAATATAAACTTACCTATGCTTTTAATCAATATCTTTGAACACGGTACACAAATGAGTATGGTAAAATGACCTACAGAACAATGTCACAGTAGACTACACTGCCCAATACGCGCAAACGCATACATAGAAATGAGAAGAAATCGTAGCCCGAATATGCCATGTGACGTTTTATGGCCTCCTCGGTCTCCCGATTTATCAATTTGTGATTTTTTTTATGGGGGGTACCTCAAGTCGCGTGTTTACGAGGCCAAGCTCCGTACGTTAGACGAATTGAAGGAAGCGATTTGTCATGAAATCTCCCTAATCAACAGAGACATGCTGGAAAGATTGGAGGGCAATTTTCGTGAACGGCTGCAACAGTGTATCAATGAAAACGGACATCATATGCTAGATGTAATTTTTCGTACTTGAATATTTCAAAATGCTTTATTATTAGCTATGTTGTAATACAAATATTTTTTTTTTAGAGTAAAAACTAATAATTTTATTATTATTTTAAAAACACTTAGTTCCTATGCCCCACCCTTTATAAATAAACCTTAATGTATACATATTATTTACTTCTGTCTACTAGTTTATCGCCAACAGGTAAATTATATTTAAACATATAATATACAATAACTAGTATCTATAAACGTTGAATTTTTTCGTTAAAAAATGTCAAGTATAAAAACATTTAAGAAATCAACCAAGACGAAACTTAAACGGGAGTTATTGACGAAAAATACATATTTTAATTTTTCATAAATTTATACGAATTTAATTTAAATAAACCTAAACGTATATTATAGGCACACTGTCTACAAATCGTTCATCGCAAACTAAAAATAGTCGTATATTGTACTATATTTAAACAGAGTTATTTACAATTATATACCATAGGGCGTATAAAAAAAACGTATAATATACTCAGATAAATAAATAAATAATAGATACAGCCCTATCATGCAATATTTGTAACCAGCATCTCCCCTCACTATACAGCAGTGGTTACACGACTTGATTGGATATTCGCTATTTTGGTTACACACCTGATTGGTTAGCAAAAAAATTGACAGGACTAC